AAAGAGGCTGTATTTGTGCTAAGTGTGCTATATTTTTGCCAAAAAGCTCACAGCACAAGATTTCATCAGTGCATAGCAAGTCCCAGTCATATTTCCTCACACCACATAGTTTATCCAGGCTCTGTTAGTCTCATGAGAGGAAAAACTTTTTGCATCTGTCACTTTTCTATCAGCTCCAACAATGAACCTGTAGAAAGCTTCTATATCTAATAGTACATTTATTTTAAACAGGATGCAAATAGTAAATCAGCAAGGCAAGCATAAGGTAAGATTATCATCACCTCAAATGTGTAGAGCAGACACCAGCTTTAAGTGTTATCTGTATCAGGATGAAAATTTAGTGTGAATTAAAAATGCACTGCATTCCCTGTGTACCCATTAATGAGAATGTTTTAAGTGATTGCTGAGATGGTGGCAGGTTCAGCTGTACTTATTTGGAACTTTTGCTTAAGGTATTAGCAGCTGTGTCAATGTCGAGAGTAGGACAAGTCCTTCTGTTCAGCTGCAACCTTTTGCTCAAGCAGAAAATCCGTTGAACAGATCTCACTTTACATTTGAGCATCATCCTCTCCTAACTGAGGGTTTTAGACATGCAGCTACAGGACAAGCCATTTCAAGAGTTAACACTTAACAAACAGTACAGTTGCAGCAGTCGAGACCTTCAGTAGTCCTTACTTCTCAGCTAGGCCAGTTTGTGTTAAAAACTAGCAGCAAGTCAAGAGCTTTTCTACAGCTTGGCTAAGCTTATAGGCTGGCAAGTAGCACCCCACGGCAAAAACCTCTAAGAGAACAGACTCCACTCCAGAGTACACACAGAAGGCTTTTGTACTTCATCTCCAATTCCAGTGAATCCAATATAACACAGGACTCTGATAAACTAATAAAACAGGCTTAGTGTTTCAGCTGTTACTAAAGTAGTAGCATGGTTCAACAAGGACCTCCTCAGTCCCACCTGTAGTGAGTCTGGAACTGCCAACAGGTTCTTCAGGAAGGCAGGCAGGACACACGAAGAAATGACTAGCTTTCAAGTCTTGACTCATCAAGTCATTATAGTGACTATTATAAAGATATTATAATGATAAGCTAATAAATGATAAATATCTAACTTAAGTTCAGGTTATTTAGGAAGCTGCATAATAGTCAGCAGTAATTCCAAGTAGCTTGTTTCCAATACTGCTTACGTACAGATTCTTATCAAGGAGACAAACCCTGCATACAGGATTTCTGCATGGGGGGAAGAATCCCTCCCAGAAGTAACTCAAGGAGGACCAGACCTACCATTGGCCTCAGAAACACTACTGCAATTGAGTAACTCTGTTTTCACTGCTGCAAAAGACAAAGTTCATCAGAAGAACTATACTAGTTGAGTTCTAACATCATTCCCGTTAATTCTGAGTAAAGCTCTGGCTATTTGACTCAATAATTTGCATTCTTACTAACAGTAACAGGCCACTATACAGGAAAGCCCATGATAATGGCTCTGTTTATCTTACTAATGATTTTCACAGTGCATGGACATGTTAAGCAAGGTTCATCATCACAAGCAAGGCTATTTGAGTGTTTTTATTCTGGATTACAGATAAACTGAATAGGATAAAACCCACTGGTGATACACTCAATTTCTACTACCCTCCTCTAGAAGCATAGCCTATCCATCTGTGCTGGTATTCCCATGTACCCCATAGGGTTACCAGAAAAACACTACCCTCTTATCACATGTTAAGTATTTACACAACAGCATTACTCATAGCAAGTGAAAAACGGTGTTTGATCCATACCTGTTGTGCTGTTTTTATGGCAAAAAATTGGTGCTGGCCTTCTCCTCCACAAATGTAGCCAAAAGCACGATTGTCTGTTACATCCCGAGCAATAAAGGAGATCTTGTTCACTGGATGCTCATGTTCTATGACCTAGAATTGGGAAAAAATAACTACTGGTTTAAAATTCTGGAGACATAATAGCTACTATTCTCTGTAGTTAGAATGTTTGAGACTATTAGAAGGCTTCAATTCAATACTTGGAATTATCAGCCTTTGACTAACCACAGTAGAATAGAATCACAGAATGCACTAGGTTGGAAACAACTTCTGAAGATCAAGTCCAACCCCATGCACTGAGCAGGGACATCTTTAACTAGATCAGGCTGCACAGAGCCCCATCAAGCCTCACCTTGAATATCTCCAGGGATGGGGCCTCCACTATCTTACTGGGCAACCTGTTCCAGTGTTTCACCACCCTCATGGTGAGGAAATTCTTCATAATGTCTAATTTAAAACTACCCTGCTCATTTAAAACCATTGCCCCTTGTTCTATTGCTACACAGCCTTGTAAACAGTCCCTCCCCAGCTTTTTTGTAGACCACTTTCAGGTACTGGAAGGCTGCTATAACGTGTTCCCAGAGCCTTCTCTTCAGACAGGCTGAAGAACCCCAACTCTCTCAGTCTGTCTTCATAGGAGTGGTGGTCCAGCCCTCTGTTTTTGTGGCCACTCTCCGGACCCACTCCAACAGCTCCATGTCCTTGTTGTGTTGAGGGCTGCAGAACAGGATGCAGTATTCCAGGTGAGGTCTCACCAGAGCAGAGGGGCAGAATCACCTCCCTCACCCTGCTAGCCACACTTCTTGTGATGCAGCCCAGAATCTGATTGGTCTTCTGGGCTGTGAGCATGCATAGTTGGCTCATGTCCAGCTTTCTGTCCCCCAAGTCCTTTTCAATAGAGCTGTCTGTATGAATGAGGATTTCCCCTGCCCAGACACGGTCCTGCACTTGGCCTTGTTGAGCCTCATAAGCTCCACATGGGTCCACTTCTTCAGCTTGTAGAGGTGAGGATAGGATGTAGCTATCTTTCTGGGAAAGGGCTTCAGCACTACAAACCATTTCACAAGCCTATTTTTATATGTGGAAGAGGGACACAAAGCCACCAAGGAATCTAATTCAGATTGGCCTAACTTACAAGTGCCTCACTTGCTTTAAGAATCACATTAAGATAGTAAGTCATATCTTACCCCAGTTTTCTCATCTATTATCTTGATACCAGAGAGTGAGATGTTTACCCAGATCTTCTGTTTGTGTTGACCCTGGGAACGGGCTGCCACTGCCATTCCCTGAAAAAGATGAATATCCAAGTATTAGTGAGACTCCTGTTAGACTGAGCTTTAACTTGTTTCCTTATGTTTCTCATGAGCCCATAGCTGTGACTATACTAGTGCTAATCTATTTATTTCTATGCAACTGTGCAGCTAGAGCAGCATTCCTCTTGCAACATATGCCTGACTGAAGTGATACCTCAGAACTAGATTGTGTTTCTACTTTCTAATGTTTTGGCACTTTAAAACTTCTTATCCTAGCTCACAAAACTGCTGCAGTAGCAGCATCTTTACCAGCTATGTGAGTGTTCTGCACTCCAGAAGTCATCATCTTTGTTGCTATAGGGTCTCATTTATTATTTGCCTTATCTATATCTCTGTGTCAGGATGCCAACCTGAGCTTTGAGTTTAGTGTTAAACTGAACGGAGATTTCCCTCTCCCCATCCAAAACCCAAACTCAATATCTGCGATCAGGTTTATACCATTAGCACCCATACTTGATGCCTACATGAGACCCAAGCTCAGCTTGGAGCATTCCCAAGCTATTAGAGAAATGCTGTTCTTTGAGCAAGCGGTTACAACTCCAGAAGTAGCATCCAAGATGGTGCTGTTATTACTATGTTACCATTAAGCTGTATTTCAAGTTGTGCCAAAGGGATCATCTGATCTGCTTTCTGAAAGCTACCCAGAAGTTGTTTTTCACATGCTAGCTCAAGCCCTTACCTTCAGCTTCATCATTGAATCTTGACTCATTTTGTCTCCTCGTGCCTCTGGGACATCATCAATGCCAATTAGTTTAGCTTTGTATCTTATACCATCACCTTTGAATCTGGTCAAGAGAGATTCATCTGTCTTTTCTAGTCCAGGAGACAGAAGAGTGTTAGGTTGGGTTTTTTTTGGTGGGTTTTAAAATTACTATTATTATTATTATTATTATTACTACTACTACTACTATTACTACTACTACTATTATAGAAGTGTCTATATTGTGGCCTTGAGATTTTTAGAAAACACACCATTAGTCAGTTTCAATATTAAAACTCTCAAGTGTAGCCCACTAACAATCCTAGTACTGTATGCACTGCAAGAGTTACTCTTTAAGGTCACAGTGCTCTTGTAGAATATGGCCTCAGTTCAAAGAGTGGAGAATATGTTTAATATTTGGGGACTTCAGAACAATTCTTTGCTGCAGAAAGACTGATTTATAGGCAACAGCCAACAGCTAAGCAAAAACACAGCTAAGCAGAAATGGTACTTCCCATGACTCAGCAAATGAGTTCCACACAAGTGGAACTGAGAGCTTTAGAACTTAAAGCTAGAAAAAAGCCAACCCTTCAAGCCAGAAGCCTACCTTCTGGTTAGAATTTCTGCACTAGCTTATTTACTCACTCTTCCAGTCAGCTTGAAGCCTCAGAGTTATTTTAACTGTCCTGTGAGAGTGATCTTATTTTTAGGCAAGTGTAAGATATTAAGGACATTGACTAGAGGAGGTGTTCCAGAGGTAAGCATTTCTTACCTTTCTTTTTTTCCTTCTTTGAAGATTGTGTTTTTGGAGGAGCCTGCTGTTCGGGCTGGCTGTTCATAGTAGTAGTTTCAGCTTCAGTAGACATGATAAGATGATGGTGAGCTGTGCTTGCTGTAGATTTAAAAAAATAAGTCAAAACAACAATCAGTACGCTGACATACTATTTTACCTTGAAGAAAAAATATTCTTACTAGACCTGTTTGTCCAGTTTTGTCCT